CCATGGAATGCCTCACCCTCCCTGGGGAGCAGAAAGAGGATGGGATAGGGGGGTAGTTGGGGGCAAGGGAAGAGGGAAGGGAGAGGGAACTGGGATTGACATGTAAAAGAGGCTTGTTTCTAATTTAAATAAAAAAGAAAAAAGAGAAATAACTAAATCATGACTATTAAAATACATATATTTTACAATATATAAACATAAATTTCAAATGTCTTCGTCACAAAAAATGAGATAACAAATATAAATTAGCTTAATATTCAACAAATAATCTTTAAACATGTTGTTTTCCATAAAGATATACAATTATTATCTAATAATTAAAATAATACTAACTTTAAAACTGATTTAATGGGCATGCTATATTTATGATAATGATAGCAATGTTTCACATCTGATTATTGATGTTAATCTTTAGTATTTCAAGTTGGAGCGGAAAACTCTATTTACTTTACCACATAAAGTAAATACTATTGCCCACACTCATAGCACAAATATATACACATGCATACATATTCTTGTCAAATGAAAGGCATTTGCTAACTAACTAATAATACTAATTGCTACTAAATCTCTGGCTAGTTCTTATTATCAAAAAGTTGGAACTGGACATAACCAAAGAGAAATTATATCTCCTGAAGATGTGAAAGAAGTCAAATAAGATACTGTTCACATATATGATTCCTTATTCTTAACTAAAAAGTGTGAATATAAAAAGCAAGTTGCTAAAAATATGACATGTGTTGGAGAGTACTATTTTTCACTATGGAATGACTAACATAAAAAATACCACCTACTTACACTCTTGCAAAGCCTCCCACACTGCGGCAATCTCCACTTTTCTAGGCTGAGTGTCTTATTGATGAAACAAAAAAAATCATTTTTAGAATTCATCTAAGTGCCAGCTCTCTTATTTGATGCAATCGTAGACAAATGTACTATGGTATTTGTTACAGATTTCTGCATTTTGGAATCAACCACTTGTTTAAATATATGCAAGTTTTTGCTAGGTAATCATTTCCTTCCCATACAGTACTTTCCTAATGGCCTAATTGTATCATTCTGGGATGTTTTTGCCTTGCCTATATAGGTCAAGTTTCACGTTCTTAGCTGATGAAATTGTGTTCAGTTTAAAGAGATAATATTAAGCAACTGTAGTCTATCTTTACTACATTATCTCCAACAATTAAACTGTCCTTATTAAACATTTGGTTTATTCATAGCAGGATAAACTAAGTAGTTTACCATTTTGTCCTTAGAAAAGAATTTTAAAATAGAAGCACTGTTCTCTGGCTGTTCCAATGGTAGAAAATTTTGTTCTAACTTCTAACCAGTTTTCTTTTTAAAGACATTTTGAAAATTAATAAGTAAAAGCTTAAATTAATAGAATTGTAAAAATGTACTATAGTGTTTCAGGTTTTCATGTTTCTGAACCTCAAACAAAAATCAAATTATTCAGGAGTGGATAATTTTCACTATAAACCTTAATTTTCTACATGGGAACACAAGAACTTAGAACCTCTAAGACTCAACATTCACATTCATTACCATTGTTTATTCATCCTCAGTTTTTCATAATCACAAATGATACTTATAGAGAACATATCTTAACCGGTTCACTCTGGGCATCAGTGGTACTCTGTTCTACTCTCAGATAATTTGTTTGAAAGGTGTAAAGTGTATAGCTCAGTTCAAGTCAGAGTTAATATTTACATATCAACTAGTCAGAGGCACTCAGTACCTTGCAACTAGAGATAGTCCGGGGCTGACAATATTCTTTCAGATGTCAATATTCATTAGCTGCCACATTTCCAAAGCAGCAAACCCATATTCTGGGTTGTTTGATGTTGTCTATTTTTTAAAACAAATACTGAGGCAAAATCCAGAGCAAAGTTTATATATTCAAAAAGAAACAGATCAAAGAGAAAAAATAAACAGACCAAAATTCTTTGGCTGGGAAATGGATCCCTTTTCAACACTGGCTTGTTCCATCAGAGGCTTTCGTGTAAAACAGAATAGGATATTCTTGCCTTCACTGGCAAGTTTTACACACATAACTTTACCTCAATTATCTACCATCAAATCCTTTAATGTGCATGCCATATTTATGATAATGATAGCAATGTTTGACATCTGATTATTAAGGTTAATCTTTAGTATTTCAAGTTGGAGCAGAAAACTCTATTTACTTTACCACATAAAGTAAATACCACACTCATAGCACAGATATATACACATGCATACATATTCTTGTCAAATGAAAGGCATTTGCCCTGAAACAAACATGATGAGTAACCCTTTCTTAAAAGCTGATGCTGGCAGCTACATCTAATGATACTGATGATTTAAAACTGAGCTAGATTGAATTATTATAATATCCTATACATTGTTTATTTGTCTAATCTCTGTAAACATCCCAGTACTTTAAGGATTCCCAGAAACTAAAGTTTGCATAACTTTGCCTTAGTAAAAGTGCAATTGGAATGAAGGGGTAAAAAAGTCAAAACATCAAATAATGCTCCCAAATAAGTGCCCTCAGCATTTTTGCTCTGCAATGGAGGTTTTCTACCATAAAGCCATCACAGAATAATTTGAATTGAAGTAATCTGAGAAACCCAAGCCAGTGGCTGCTGCTGGAAGCAAGCCATTCCAACAAGCCATGTCACCACAGACCACATGTTTCTCAGAGGTTAAGTATTCCAAAGGTGGATCAAAAGGTGACAACACAAATTTACTGGATATATCAACAATGTCTTAGTAAGGCTTGACTACATTGCCTCGTTTGTCTGCTTTGACCCTCAGAGAAGTATGCCCCTGATACAACTTCTGAGCATCCTCCATAGAACTTTTCTTCTAAGCATTCCTTCATTTTTTCCCCCAGTCATCCTCGAACTGTCTTTGTATCAAAGCTTCTGGTCCTTTACCCACGGCTTCCCAGCAATAAAGCCTAGTGCACTGTGACTGTGTACTGTGGTTGAGTCGTATCCGCATTAAGGTTAAGTTGCTGTTGTTGACTAACACCAGACAAAAGTTTCCACAGTGGGCAATGCTGCTTTGTTCCTTTAAACAATGCACTGCCTGTGTGTTCAGGAATTCATCGTTAGGAACCTAAGGGATGTCATGGAGGAATGATCAGCTCAAATCGTGTTTTCCTTCCTTTTCTTGGAAGAAAAAATGTTCTCCTTTGTTCTATGCCCTATTGTTAGCAAAATAAATACATAAATAAACATAAATGAATAAATAAGCAAGCCGTTACCCAGTTAGTTCTCTGTACTATACAAATCACATTCCTGTGTTCTTCCAAATAAAGCCTAATCTCTCCCAAGATACAAGAATGTTTGGGGACTGCAGCAAGTGATCTTTTCAAATACAAGGCAATGTGTCCTGTCTTGGTAGAATACAGAGGTAACAGGACTTTTCCACCCAGGCCGAGGTCTATTGATTGTGACCTTGGCCAAGGCACAGGAACTTGTTTGCCAACTTTAACTGGAACATTAGATCTGCCTGTTCCCCATTTCATGTCCTCCAAAGTACCCCGAAGTTTGGATTGAAGTACTGTCTAAGGTGTCTTCACATAGCCCAGGCTCCCTAGAGCTTCATGCACAGGCGGGCACCAGAGGGCTCTAGGCTCTACCAGTGTCTTTCCCCCTGTGGTTTGGGAACCACCAGGATACTTGAGTGCCCCCTGGGGCTGGGCAGGCTTAGTGACTGCAGCAGAGAGCTGCTGCAGGGGATTTCTCATCCCTGAGCCAGCTTCTTCAAGAAACCCATTTCCCTGACTCTTTTCAGCTAACCTCTACTGGTCAAGTTTCCCCAGCCAGAAAGGGGTGTCGATTAAATCCATAGCTAGACCAAGTCCTTACATGTAAATCTCTAGCAAAAACACCTGGAGGAAGAGTAGAATGAATACATACAACATATGTATATAATGTATGCATGCATATAATTTAATATAATGTTCCAGAGCCTCTCCCTTTCAGCATCATCATCCAAGAGTGAGCGGGACATTTAAATTATTTTGGCGATTTGTTGATTTTTAAGTTCTGTCTTTCTTTTTAAACGGGCCCTGCAGGCAGAGATACCCAAGAGCAGAGTGGCAAATTGGTGACCTGGGTGCTCTGGGGCCACTTCAGGACTGATAGGGCGAAGGTACAAAAGGACAAGCACCACATGGGGTGCAGCAACAGACTGCAGGAAAGGGGGTGTCTGACCCGGGAGGCTGGGCGAGGAGGGGCGCCCGCCCCCTCCAGACTTGATTCCACCAGAGTCTCCGCTTACCGAGTTCCTCATACCCGGCCTGGTTACAGGATTAGCAGGTCTTTCTGTACAGCTGGTGGAGACAGGCCAGCAGGGGACCCCTAAGTCTCTCCTCTCTCCCTGCCCCCGCCCCATGACCACCACCCCTAACCGCCCAAGGCAGTGACCATTAAAAGGGAAATGGTGTGGGCGGCGATGGAAAGAAGGGTCTCTGCCTAGCGGTGGCCACAGACACCTCTGTGCAGCGAATTTGCGAACGGAAACAGGCTGTCCCAGTGTCGCGCGGGGGCAGGAGCGGGACAGGAGAGCGACGGGCGGGGACCGGAGGCAAAGTGGCCGCGCATCTCGGACAACTTTGCCGGGAAAGCGGGCGACCTCGAGTAGACATGGGGCGGCCTCTGCCTCCTCGGGCCATGTCCGGGGCACCGAGGAGCCTCGGGTCCTGCAGCCCAAATGCTACTGTCACCCGCGAGGAGAGCACCGGGTGGCCTCCAACGGGAGCTACGACTCAAAGGGCAGCCCCGCGCTGGAGGGCGAGGGACAGCCGCCTGTGTGTCCGCGGCCCTGGGAGGGGCGCTGTGCCGGGGGACACCCCGCCCCAGATGCCCCCTCGCCGTCCCGCGGGACCCGCGACTACTTCAGCGACGCCGGGGAACGGCGAGCAGAGCCCGGGATGCTAGCGCGGCAGAGCGGTAAGCCAGCGCCGCCGCCGCCGCCGCCGCCGCCGCCGCCGCAGGACCACGTACCTTGAGCTCCTGGATGTCCAGGTCCGTGGATCTATCCATGGAGCGAAACTAAATGAAGTGGAGAGGAACCGGCCAAGTTGCTCCCCGAACCGATCTAGTCTTTTAGTTTCCAGCTGAAACTCAGCTTTATCCTCCTCCAAGCCCTGGCAGCTTCTCTCAGTCTCATTCTCCGTGGTCTCGCCGCCTCCGCCGGTTAAAAAATAATATAAATAAATAAATACTAATGATATTTCACTTTGTTTTACTTCTTCAGAGATTTAGGGACAGGTGATCTTTACCGCGGTCCAACACGGCTCAGTCGAATCAAGCAGAGGGGGGGAAAAGATCCACTCTATATCAGATTATTTCGTCTTCTGCAATAAGCTTAGAAACCAGCGAGTTGCTGCTGCATCCCAAGAAAAAAAGCTGCTTCCCTGGACAGCATCATGCGGCAAAATTCAAGCAAATGTGTTCAAACTGGAGAGAAGAGTATGTGATAAAAGCCTTCCTCCGTCAGGCATACTCTGGAAGCTAATTTAGCACGCTGTGAGTCCCAGACATTAGCAATCATCAATTTCCCTGGCAAGATAACCGAATCTCCGAAGTCCTGCATAGACTTAAAAAACGTCTTGTAGCTTAGAGGTATTCTCTCAGTGGGGAAAAGACGGTAATAGAGTCTGAAGGGACCGGTCTCCTTTGAAGGTTATACTAAAAGAGTTGAGAGAATAGGAGGTGGCTCCCACAGAGAGAAAAGAGGGAGAGAAGAGAGAGGGAGACAGCAATTTTCCTCCCGCTTTGCTGTTTTACTGGCCCTCACCACCAGGTGACTGACTTCACTTCTCCCTTCCCACAGCCAGCACTAAGGGGATTTCTCTCATCTGTCAAAAAGCAACATTTCCTCTTCAGACAAATACAGTCGCTGGGTCTTAAAGACTGCCCTCTGTCCGGAATCTACTAGGTGACAGGCATTTTAATGCACTTCTGCTCTTCCAGCTTCTGGCTCAGAAAAGCATGGGGAGACACAGGCTCGCATGTATCGTTCCCATGCATCCAATTAGATCTCGGCTGTAGCCAATTAGATCTTAGCTATTTAAATGTCAGGTTGCTTTTACCTTAAATACTATTTTTTTTTAAATGGCAAGGAGTAGGATTGCTAAAGATTTCTTTCCAAGACTTACATCATGAGAATGTAAGTTTTCTGCCGGCTCTGTGAATCTATTCTAACAGGTCAATGCATTGCACTTGTAATCTCTCAATGTAGAGGTGAGGGCTCTTTTACTTCATTTAGATATTTTAGTGAAAACACCGTGATTGATTTTAAGGGACTCAGTCTCCCTTTATTGTGGTATATAAAAATCCCAAACTTAAAAATTCAGTTCTCAAAAAAAAAAGAGCAGTGTGGATTCTACTAGTTTTGAAAAATATGTATGTATCTTGACAAAATTTAGAGGCGTCTCCATCTACTCTTTGGACTCCTTCTCTAACTTCATTTTCATACTTCTGCACTGCTGAGTTCCAGCCACCTGGTCTACTTCGCATGGTCCATATCTTGTAATGTCAGCTAATACATGCTTCTGCCTCTCTGTAAGGAAATCTCTTTCCCCCTCGACTCTGCATGTTTTCCATTCTCCTGTTTCAGTCTAATGCCCCTTCATCAGAAAAGAATTTTCTATTGGCAAGTCCCTTGGAGAGTCTCTATAGTTATCTTGTTATAGCAGAACCCCAGTTAATCACTATTGCATATATGCATTGATTAGCTGCTTGTTTGTGTGACTTCCTTAATAAACAATATTATCTTGAGGCATTTTCTGTGCCATTCTGATTCCCAAGTATGTCAAGAGCCTAGCAGATGATAAGCAAATGTGCAATAAGTAGATAAATGTATGCAAGACGTTAAGATTGCAATTCTAATGTCTAATATCCTCTCTTCATCCCCACTTCCCCACTAACTATAGTTATATTCCATACATATACATTGCTTGCAGCTAAGCTAAGCTCATCACTAAGCATGCTAGGTTCATTACTTTAGCCTGTTTCTATTTCATGTGATTATCAAAACCATCTTTCTTCTTTGACTTCTGCCTACAGCCTTCAGAGATAACATCAAATAGTCAATCGTCCATAATGAGTAGGCTGAACATCAAATCTGAAAATGAATATTACATGTCCTGTTTACATAATTATCTTACATAACATATGATGGAAAAAAATAAAGTTGCACATTGCCAGTACATGAACTTATATTAAACACGACTCCTTCAAGAGCTTCTTTTCTAGAAAGTATCAGTGATTCAACATGAAAATAGGTGAGTTTTAAGTCTTTCATGTGAAGTACTTATATATTCCCAAGAAAATAGTGTCTAATCTTAGAAAATAATAAAACAACATGATATATGTTGATTTATTTTCAGACACAGATGATTTTTAAATTTGTAATTGCAATATGCACCTCAAAAAAGATTATTACTATATTACATATAATATATACTATAAGTATTATCATTCTATTATACTATTATTCTTTTCAACAAAGATAGTAAAATTGTATTTTGAAGACATATGTATGGTCATAGATAGGTATATGCAGTATGAGCACATATATAATGACTTCATTTTTAATAAGTTTGAAATTCAAAACAAAGTATGTCCAGCATTTGATATTGGTCCAACTTCCATGTTCATGAGCTACAGAATCTATTGATGATCTCTATATCAGCAACATATTGCATCTAATTAAAGACTGATGTAGCCAAAGACTACTGAGTCTCTAATGGCTAACATGAATTTCCACATAAATTCATTAGACTAAATATTCCTAAAACTCAAACAATGATAGTTGATAAAAGGAAGTGATTCATTTTACTAAGATATATTTATATTATGTATCAAGGCAACCAGAACTTCGTTCCACCTCATCTGAGCAATAAATAGATGAAGAAAATATCTGAAAATTGAATTGACTTTACACTTAAAATCAGGCAGGCAAAAATGAGGGTGTAAAATAAGAAATCCATATTTTCTAGATGTCCTAAATCACAACTCCAACAATAAGACAGCTACCCATGATGGTGAAGGAAAAAAATCACCCTGGAACATAACAGAGTTTCTGAAAGGTGCATCATTCAATTTAGCAAAGACGTGCAATTCAAAGGCAAAAGGCACTGGGTGATTACAATACCCAAGCAAGAGGAAGGCAGTGTAAAAACACCTGCAGGTCATGAGATTTTTACACTTCAGGTTCACTCATCCATAGATACATTCATCAATGTCACCTTCAACCATAGATATTACAGCAGATGTATACTTGCTATCATGAACATCTTTAAATTACAAAAGTAGGCTACTTGTAAATCAATATGCTTTTTTTCCAGTCATAGTTCTTATTTGTCTGTGGTATAAAATCACTTACAGAGCTTTAAATTTTGTAAGCCTTTATACTCCTTTCTTCAAACCCTCTTGCCAAATTTGTAATTTTATGCTTTTATTTGGATTTTTCATGCTGCATTACATAGCAAGGCAATATTTTATTTCCATGTTTTGAAATTATTAAAAGGAGAGGCAATGCATCATGATTTACTAAAATACACTATTAAATAGCTTGTTTTCACAGGTTTTTCATTTTATGTGTACTGATCAGCTCATTTATTCCAAATGCTTATCAAAGAAGGCATTACCTTATAATGGTATTATTTTTCCATGAAGGTTTTAAAAATTATATTTATATGTGAGTGTGTGACATTAGTTATTTTAACTTTGCATAAGTCTTATGTGCCAATATAGGATTAAGGAGGAAATAGGTTAAATGAAGTATTGCTATTATGACTTGGATAAAAAATACCTTTCATCTTTCTCCTTTAATTCATCACTTCTAATTAGAGCATTGATATATATTTCCATAGAAAATAATGCTAAAATTAAAGTAGTTTCTGATAGCCTTCAACACAGATCTTATGTATTTACTCTTAATTGTTTTCTCTAAAGAGAAAAAAGAAAATAGAATTGATATCCCAGGTACAAATATAAAGCAAGAAACAAAAAAAATGGGAAATGAAAATAAAGAAAATGAATCAGTGGGGACAAAGATGATCCAGCTAGAAGGCCAAATAAAGACAGAATATGCAATCAAAGCTACCAAAATGCTCATACTGGAAGTGTTTCTTTCCTTTTAGATACAGTGACAAAAAGTAACTGACAAAGGTGTATCTGCACACATATGTAATCTGGATTCTTGGGAATAAACAGCATAATTAGAATGGAATTAATTTTAGTGCTTTATGAATAGCAGTTAAGAAATTAACACGGTAGCAAAATTAAAACTGATGCTGGTCCACATTATAGATCCTGATGTCAGAATTATAAAAGCACAAGGAAAAGAAAAGATCTCAATACATTTATCAAAATGGCTATTTATCTTCATTGCCCATTTTTCTGAAAAAATAACATGGAAAATAAAAGATATTACTTTTAAAAAGTTATTCTGAGATGAACAACCTTACTATTAAACATTAATGGTAACTGGACCAGGCCTTTTTTTATTACAAAAATAATTGCCGGCCGGGCGGTGGTGGCACATGCCTTTAATCCCAGCACTCGGGAGGCAGAGACAGGCGGATCGCTGTGAGTTCGAGGCCGGGCTGGACCGACAGCCTCCAAAACAATACAAAGAAACCCTGTCTCGTAAAAACCAAAAAAAAAATTGCCTTCTGCTCCAATACTTTTATAATGACTATATAAGATAGGTGTTTTCGACTAAATATCATTAATTATTCTGCAAAAGTCATTTCTATAAACAAAATTAATATAAATTTTAAACCAAAATTTAAAACTCAAAATGGTATATGACACATAATATTGTCCTGAACTTGATGGGATTTAAATCCATCCAAGAATCCCTATGAGGACATGTTTAGAATATGTTAGTAATATTAGTTACTTTTCTGTTGTTGTCATTAAAACTTTTCTATTGTTGTTATTAAAACACCATGCCAAGGAAACTCTTTAAAGAAAGTTTATCTGTGGCTTACATTTCCAGAGGAGTAAGTCCACGGTGGCAAATTGGTTGTAGAAAGCAGTAGGTGACTAGAGCAGCAGCTGAGAGCTCAAACCTCAAGCAGAAGAAAGTGCTAGCTCAACATGGCACCAGTCTTTTGAAATCACAAAGTTCACTCTAAGCCATGCACTTCCTTCATCCAGTCCACACCTCTTTTATTTAATCAATTAATTTATTTTACATCCTGACCACAATAGTCCCCCCCTCCCTCTTATCTTCCCATTTCCCCCCCACCTACCCTCCATCTCAACAGCAATCCACTGTTCCTCTGTTTTTGTTCAGAAACGGGCAGGCCTCTTATGGGTACCAACAAAGCATGGCATATCGTTTCCATAGGATGAAGCACCTCCAACTGAAGGCATGGGTGTTATGATTTCACCCAAGATAAATGATTATGGGTGTTTTATTGGGAAACAACTTACACAGAACAGTACAGATAACTGCAGCAGCGTTTTCTCTGCCCTTCCAATTGGACCCTTGACCAAAGAGAAATAGAGCAGTGACAGATAGACCATGCCCCACCCTTTGCTCTTTTCTCTTCAGTCAGCACCTGAAGCCACGCCTAAAGGGGTGTGGCCACCATTACAGATTCAAAGACAACACCTTGCATTTAGCCTGAGCAAGGCAATCCAGTATGCAGAATAGGTTCCCAAGTTCTAGCCAAAGCATTAAGGACAGCTTGCTCCCACTGTGAGGAGTACCACAAGAAGACCAAGCTATGAGTACATGTAATATACAACTGGGGAGAAAAAAGCTGAAAAACCTGGAAAAAATAGTTAACATAATTAAATCCTAAAATAGAACTCCCACCTCTAATTTGGAAATTTTCCCATGACATGGATGTCAACGATAACACACAAGGTGGGATTATCATTTCTCCATTGTTTATTGACATCCATCTGTGATTTTAAATTGATTTTCAAGAAATCTCTTAAGGTAGAA